GAGACCGTTCCGCAAACTCGTCCAGCGACGAAACACGGTCTCGACAACCCGAGCCATATGGCGCAAGTCAATTAAGCCATTGTCAGCTGCAGGCCGTCTGGCCCATAGAGATCTTATATTTCATACCTAGAGTGGCTGGTGGCGCTAATGTAGTGTGAGGTTTGGAAGCCATGATAGCCGGGTCATCCATAGCCGGGTAGCGCCTACTTCACCATGCATTTTACATGCTTCCTGGAGTCATTCTCTTGTCAGACCTAGTCGAAACGGTTGGAGGAACTCTTGATTGACCGAACGTTCCACGTCCACGCTGAAATGGTACATGAAACTCGAATCGGTCTAAAATTATACGTCCTCTGAAATGGTTCGTGAGAGTCTGAATAGGCCTGCTATCGGCCTAACGTTGCACGTCCTCGACGAGATGTCGAGACCATGGATTGATCCTTATTGGCCTAATTTGCCACGTAAGTCGAGGATTGAGTTTCGTTTGAACGAGAAAAGGTTGGCCTAGGCTTGAGGTTGAGAGGGAAAGCCTTTGAAAAATGGTTTTCACATTCATTCAAATATTGCGTTGGCTGCCTTGTCAGTACAGAACAGTGAAAAAGGTAGCTAAAGCTCCAGGGACGTCATTTAGTAAAACTGCACGGGGGGCAAAGAAGATATGCAACTTGAAAAATTAACACAATTCAGCCAGAAATATTATCGCCTGCTTCAGTTTCGTGAATTTATGAGATGTAATCAATCGCAAAACTGAATCGCTCGTGAATTTTTTTTCCCGTATGGACTAATGGCCAAAACATGGGGAGTGGTTCAGTTCGTGAAACTCAAATTTCGCGAAATTATAAAGGAAAACCTTAGGATTTCACGATATTAAATCGGCGCCAGAAATCCTCCCTGCGTTGTCATGCAAAGTTGGCTAAAAGAAGAATGATATTTAATTAGATGAAACTATGAATGCAACCATGGTTGCACTCGGCAGCAAAAAACCTCTCAAATGACAGTTTAAGAGGTGTAAAGTAGATTCGCAGTTCTCTGGTTTAGGAAAACCGTTTTAATGCCCACGAAATCGATTAGATTCGGCGCAACAGCGGAGAACGAGGAACTTCCAATTTTTTTTTCGAATTCGTCGATACTTGGTGTTCGCTTTCGATGCGGCCAATGGCAGACAACTCTACTCTTTTTTTTTTACTCTCTTCATGACGAATAAGAGTCTTTTGGCTCAGGTAGTTATTAAAAGCAAGTTAAAACAGGGTCGATTAGCTTTAAGTTTTGAGAGCGTATCTCCTAAGTTCGTGAATGCTTTGAGATTTAACAACAAAAAGAACAGGAGCCATGAAAACCATACCGCATGAGAGTTCTAAAGGCAGACTTACAGGCTATTACATTATGTGGAATAAAGAAGGCTATTTAAAAATCGCTCTAAGACACGAGGGGGGGCAACTGCCCCCCCCCCCCCGGAATGGCGTCCCTGAAAGCTCTAGAGTAAAACCTCTTCTCTGGTCTGAAGGACCACATGTCCGAGTGTGCTTTCGATAGAGAGCCTCATGTGTCTGCTTATCAAGAAAGTATTTTATGTATTTTTGCGCATTAGAGGGCGGAAGTATGCCAGGGATATCACCAGAGAGTCTTAAGTGACTTGATCACAAATATTTTTTTTAATGGCCTTTATTTTCTGCAAAATCAGCAGAGGTTCATTACTGCATTTATCTACTGGCCCTTTTCTTCTTCAGACTTAAGTAGCCAGTTCGCTTCTGGGGGATGGCATATATTAGGGAAGCTGATGTTCGGTTTCATGCTCAAAAGATTTTTCGTCTTGTATAGTATAGGTATAGTATAGGTATAGTATAGGTATAGTATAGGTATAGTATAGGTATAGTATAGGTATAGTATAGGTATAGTATAGGTATAGTATAGGTATAGTATAGGTATAGTATAGGTATAGTATAGGTATAGTATAGGTATAGTATAGGTATAGTATAGGTATAGTATAGGTATAGTATAGGTATAGTATAGGTATAGTATAGGTATATATAGGTATAGTATAGGTATAGTATAGGTATAGTATAGGTATAGACATACTGTAGGTTAGCATACGTCCTCGACCAGAATCGAGGAAATCAATGTCATTGGTGTTTATTTAAAGAGTTATGCTTTCCGACAGAACGAATCCATAGGGTAAAATCATGAATTTTCTATCAGTTAAGATGGCCGAGCTTCTTTATTTGCTCGTTCAATCTCAACGGTACAACCTGAAAGCCTCATTTTGTATTCCTACGAAGTCCTACAAAGGCGTTGTCCTCCCTAGCATTGTGACTTCTGATATTGCCTAAATAATGCGATATTCGAACTTAGATGTGGAAAAAGTTAAGTTCGGACGCTTTCACCTTGGTTCGGACGTCCCCATTTCAAAGCCTCGATGAGGCTTGAAACACTTGAATGTGATGCAAAGGAATGATAACCCACTCTCAAAGTATTGGACCTTTTCTCAATGTTCTAGTATAGGAAGATTGTGATAAAGTTAGTGAGTGACTGACTTTCAATCTATGTTCCAGATGAGATAGAAAGATCAATCTTGGTATTCGAAAAGCTCTGATTATCCGGATTTCAGGTAGTCATTTTTTGGAGAGGCGCATCTTCATAATTTTTTGCGCTAACAAAATGGAGATACATAGAAACTGAACTGAACTGGGCACCGGTACTAATTGAGAAGCAGATTTCAGGCAAAAAAAAGATTTTGGGATGCGTTGCCTGGGGGCACATCTTGGAGTGGACTTTCCAAAAAAATATTACGTTCCTGGGAATCATGGAGACATAAAGTTGAAACCTTAATTGATAGGTACCTACTGGTATGTAGACATAAGGGAAAATTCTACTTCCGGGATTTATCTTCAAGGGGTAAAATAGGGAGGAGCCATATATTCCAACATGTTTTGCTACGCTGAATCGGGTGTTGGTGGATATAGAAACTTGGAAGTTGGAACCTAAGTTTCTCTCTAGTAGATACTTCCTGAAAATTTCTTTCTCTTGCTGTAAATCCCTTGGATGCACATTTTTTATTTGGGTCATAATCGAAATTGCTTTTAGAGCAGAACGAGCAGGCACAGTTTATTGCATTCAATAGGCAAGTCTTTATCTCCACTCAGAAAGTATTCTACCTCAGGGACACATCCCCACTCCGAAATTTGGAAGTTCCCAGAGGCACATTATTTTTTAGCAGACAAGTCCATCGTCAGAAATGCTGACCTTCCACATGATATCTCACCCAAATAAAGCCCGGATGACCTTTTCAGCAGCCTCGGGTCGATAATCCCATGCATTCCAACTTCCTATATGATTGCACTGCTTTGGAGGCAGACCGCACTCCTAGGTGTGCAAAGAAACATATGATGATGCATTTTTATTAAGTGCTTGACGGTGTACGAAGACGGTGTCCCGCTATGAAAGTTCGGACAGGACCCAAAAAACATGTTCCCTGAAAAGAAAGACTTAACTGAGCTTTTGTCAACTCTAGGCAATAGAGAGTATCATATTTACGCGAATATGACACGAATGGATGTAGGTCCGAACATAAGTTTCTCAAGCATTGCTTTGCCTAAGTTCGGACACATCTGAAGTAAGACAGTAATCTGATCGAGGCATTCTGCTTAACGGGACTCCATGTCCTCCCAGTTTCCTGGTAAGAACTGAGCGCAGAAAATAACCATGTCATGTGTAAAACGTTTTAAAAGTAAGGTCTCTACGGTTTCTCTAGGACTCCTCCTGTTTGCGATATCATGTTTGCCAGAGTCCAATATCCTTGAATTGTGCAAAGTCTTCATAACCACCGCTTGCCTTTCGCTTAGTAAAATGTTCTTTTCTTGACTGGAAGAGCTATTTCTGAAAGCGGCCTCTCGAATAGTTAGTTTTTTAAAACAATGCTTGTTACAGTGTCCGAACTTATGTGGTTTTACCCTAGCATGGAAGAATGGTCTGAATTGAAGATTAAAAGAACTATGCATAGGTTTCCCAATCGTCGTCGTTTTCAATCGCCTGAGCAGTCCCAAAGAAAGATCAACTGTTCCATGCAAAGTGAATCCAGATCATCTGTGACGAATTTGTTAAAGACAAAGCTGATTCTTCATTACGAGCAACCAAAGGATGAGAAGCAGAAAGAGAAAGTGGAAAGTGAGAGTGCGAAGTGAACGGACCATCGCACACCAACCTGAATTCATGGATCCCTTAAGTAATGGAAGGAGCTTAGAAGTCCCTCCCCAGTCTGCACAGGAACGTTGAGTAAACGTCGATATTTGGGGGATACGTTGATTTTTGGTGTACGTTCATGTTTCGATGTTGAGTAAACGTCGATAATTCCGCTCACTCCTAATATTACATGACATGCAGATATTTTTAAAAGGGTTACATTCTTTACTCGTGACAGAGCTGCTCATGCTTTCTTGGGAAAATGAATGAAACATCGATGTCAGCCACCAGCAGAAAAATTGCATTCATCCTGTACCATGCGCTTTCTCCTTGGATACACTTTCCCAATCGTGTTCAAATAAAGTCCTCGGGAAGCGGGCTGTTACACACGGTTGGGATGATTTAGGTTTTATCGGGATGACTGAACTTGTAAAATGCTGTTTTTTTTCGTCTTACACGTTTTCCTCTCCTCCTCCTGTCTCCACGTGACGAAGACGCGCGAGCCATCGAGGACTTCCTCCTTTTATCCGGGAATATTCACCTTGTCCCACGACGTACGAATGACATCATCATAAACGTTGTTATGCATGTGATGCGACGGAGAAAGCCAACTGCAGCGGTATAATGGCCAGTGGAAGGAAAAAGTGTACTTGTGTTGGTAATCTAGTTTTACATTCCAATGAGTTTCGTTCAAGCCGTTAGAATAATCTCATCAGTTTCTCCCGGATCATTTCCCTCCGACTTTAAAGGTTACAATCCCCTGTCGGAGTTGCCACTCAGAGTGATTAAGAGCATGGAAAAACTGGGAGAGTTCTTTTTTCGGGATGCAATCTGGGGCCAACGCTCTCGAGCGGCCTGCTGGAATTCCGCAGCAAGGCCTTCAAGTGGGTGGTGCTCTGGAGGAGCGACATCTCTCGACTGGAGCCAAGAGCCATCAAAGGTGCTATCTCAAGTCAAAATCCTATGCCGGGTGTGGGGGAATGCCACGTAGAACTTAGACTTCGTGCCACTAAATTAGAAATAGACGTTTCCCCTCCACCAAAATCACACGTTCACAGCGCCGATAATGACCCATACTCATGTCGTTCGTGCACATGCCCGTCCGTCCCAACTATCTCACTAAGAGGGATATGATGAACTTGTTTTGGTTTTTATGTTTTCCATTTCGCATGAGTTGCGCATTAGCCACTATTTAGCCAAGCGATATATCTATAGCTGAAATAAACATATAGCTTAGCTAAAGGGAGCTTAGAAAGGGGAATTTCCAGCCAAAACCATACATCTGCCGTTGACGAATTTACCATGATTGACTACTTCCACGTCATTGATAATTTGAAGAAAAAAAACTGCTACTGATCATATCAATCAGGAACATATCGGTTCCTCCCCTCAAGTAGGGCATTTGAGTACTTCTTCAAATTATATATGAGAAAGAAGAAACTTCCTGAAAATAGAGATTTTGAAGTCCGATCAGCTCGAATCCCCTTTTAGAATCCCATAGTTCCTAAACGTCGAAATATAGGCAAATGTCCTTTCGGCAGGAAATGCAGCCTAATAAACTGAACACAGCGATGCCCAAAACTCTAATTTTCTTTTTTTTTTAATTGCTCAGGTGCCCTATTAGCAGTCAGGTACCGATATCATACAATTAATTTTCCTAATCGCAGTTGCTGGACTTTTACTTAACACTTAAAACGCGTTCTTTTTTAGAAAAAAAAACTGATATTCGGCCATCGGAATAGGCAATGCATTTCTTCTCTCTTTCTCATTTCCATAATCGCTTAGAATCAGCAAATGAAAATGTTGCTGTTAAAAATTGAACTCTACATGAGAAAGGTCCGAAGGTTGAGCAGAGGAAGGGGAAGATGGAGAGTAGTGAAGTTGAGTTTTGTCAATTTTCGGATCAGCACTCCCAATACCTATTCCAGGTCTCACGGCCGACTCAGAGGTGATACTCGCCGAGAACAACATCGCAACATTGGATGAAGCCATTTTCCGCCCCATGCTGGAGGTGATGTCCCTGGGAGAGGGCTACCTGGATCTCAAGTGTGAGTTTGCACGGTTCCGAAAACGCGAGGCGACTTCTCGACTCTGCTCCCATCCCTCCATCTCTTAGCTTTCTTTGGTCTTCATTTTCAGCCAATCCTATTCGGTGTGATTGCAATTTGGCATGGCTGGCGTTCGCCCCTCAATTACTAAGTAATGTCGGACCCAAACCTGATGAAATTTTTAAAGAAATGCCGCAACGACACGTTGAGGAGTCCGGAACGTCCTCGATGTCCCACCGGTCTCGCAGGCATGAGATGCATCGAATCCGAATATGCATGTTTCTGTGATGAGGGTACTCTCAACACGTACTTCACTTGTCCAAGAGCATCACAAGTGTGCTGCATCAGCTCCGATGCACGAGTCCCTCCTTGCCGCGGATGCGTAAGCCTATATTCTGCTATGGTTTCCATGACAAGCCCAATAGGGTTCCTAATAGTTTGTTGGGTACAGGTGGAGGCGAGCGGCTGTGAAGCACTTCCCGACATTCACCGTGGACACTTCACGATTCTGTCTTGCCATGACGGTGAGCGGAGGTAAGTTTAATTAAATTTAAGTTTAATTCTTCCCTCGTGAGGAGAGTCATAACAAGTTTGAGTAAAGTCACTTGATTTTTTGCACGTTTGGAATACGCGAATTTTACTCAGCATTTGAATAATTTACCACGTTATTCCAGTCATTTCGACAGTTTCTGCACTGTCCGAATGCTACATCGTCGCTTGCAAACAATGAATGACTCCTCCAAGAGGCCGAACAGATGCTGATTGATTGTGACACCATTTCTATTTCAATCCTCCTCATAGGACATCCATTTTGATTGGAAAAGTTAGCACGCTTGAAGTTCGTATTTAAAGAGGCATGCATGCAGTACATTTGCAAATCACTCTTACTTAGCGCCCCAATCATTCAATAACGTTGAAATATCGCAATAGGCTTCTTCCGACTCTAAATAATCCTCACTTTCAGTACTTCGCAAGAAGATGACTACGTTCCTCTCGCAGAATAGGATTACTTGATCGAGTAGAAGGGACATTCAACAACACGGGATGTTTTCGCGGAGTAAAATACCAGACTGGAACTAAAGTGAAATATTACTGTGATAAATATTACTTGAGACTTGTATTCTCGCCCCGAGAATACAAGTAAAACCTAAATCATCCCAACCGTGTGTAACAGCCCGCTTCCCGAGGACTTTATTTGAACACGATTGGGAAAGTGTATCCAAGGAGAAACCGCATGGTACAGGATGAATGCAATTTTTCTGCTGATGGCTGACATCGATGTTTCATTCATTTTCCCAAGAAAGCATGAGCAGCTCTGTCACGAGTAAAGAATGTAACCCTTTTTAAAATATCTGCATGTCATGTAATCCGAATATTAGGAGTGAGCGGAAATTTTCTTCCTAGAATATGAGACGGTGTGGGGGGGGGATTCGGGCAGTGGCATGGTCTTCCAAATGTTCCCAGGTTGGGAGAGAAGTCCCTGGATTATTGAGAGAGTATTGAGTCACTTATATCAAAATAAAAGTAAAAAATGCTCTGATCTGCTCCCAGGCCAGTTCAGCGTCTTCACCAAGGTGCATCGGTGAGACGAGACTTCCTGTTCCTCTTCTGTCGTCCCAATTTATGAGATTTGTCAGGAAGGTTTTAGGAGAAGGTTTTATGGAAAGGAGTCCATTTTAGAAGGAGTTTTTCGGCCTCAAACTTGCCAAAAATTTAACAGTTTTTTTTGCACTCACCATCTTAGTATTTGATTAATACTGGCAGGCATAAAGTCTGCATTGAAAATAAGCAAACAGACAGCAACTCACGCCTCAACTTTAACAAGGGCCATGAGGCCTAGGGGGATGAACAGTCTGATTCTTATCTGGCTCTGGAATTGCTTGCCAGGTAAAATCTCTGTGGTGATTTAGCTTTTTAGTGTCTACGCCCGAGTTATCTCGTGTTGGCCTAATGACAAAGGATGGGAAAAACTTGGATGGCATTGCTAACTTATCCAAAATGCTCGGACCCCAAAGGGTTAAACAAATGCTTCGAGAAAATTCCAGCATCTTCTCCTTTTCTGTGGAAAAAGATCAGGTACCGCCCAAAAGTACTGGAAACTTATAACGAGCCACTGCTTGACACTTCCGAAATCGTGGTCATTTTGGCACCACTTATTAATACATTATCAATATGGATCTCGTATCAATTGCAGGAACCTTGTATGTTCGAATGATTGGGATAGATGACTCGGCCACATCTTGGACAAATGCAACCGCAGTAGTGGCGATGTGTAGGGTATTGAATATATGGGCTGCCCACTGCGATGCAGTTCCCACTCCGCCACTCAAAGCCAACTTGGGCTCAACGTGGCGTGCTGCCAGGGGGTTTGAGGCGAGGCCATTCAGGGTCAATCAGTCGGATGACTATGAGGCAAAGGTGGTAAAGAACTACAAGGGGAAAGTGCCAAGTGGCGAGCGGTAGGGATACAATGGTCAACATTCTCCGTTTTTCTTCACGCACTAGTAGGCAAACGATGGGGCTTTGATGTTTTTTTTGCCTGCTCTTTGGTTGCTTATTTTTACTCTGAATGGTCTAGTGACAATTGAAGTCCTTTAATGGCTCTTCATTCCCATCAGGTACATGAACTGGNGAAACTCGAGGAACCAGCTAAGTTGACGGAAGGAGTTCAGCTGGTCTGCCTGCCCACCCACCTATCGCAGCGCAATGTAGATCACGGAAGGAAAGGATGGGTAAGCAAGGATGACTCACTTTGGTATCCCGTTCTTTTAATCACTTGTCGCTAATCGTTGTTTCGATGGTAGTTGGCAGGTTGGGGTCTCGACGGCTCAAATTCCCCATCTCGTGTCTTGAGAGACCTTGAACTTCAAGCGCAATTTGCACCCACTTCTTCGCGTTATACCGAGGATGTCACGAGACAATCCCCTGACCTCGTTGACACCCTCTTTTGTGCTGGACAGCTCACAGAGAATCATACAGGTAAAACCTAAATAATCCCAACCGTGTGTAACAGCCCGGCTTTCCGAGGACTTTATTTGAACACGATTGGGAAAGTGAATCCAAGGAGAAAGCGCATGGTACAGGATGAATGCAATTTTTCAGCTGATGGCTGACATCGATGTTTCATTTCTTTTCCCAAGAAAGCATGAGCAGCTCTGTCACGAGTAAAGAATGTAACCATTTTAAAAATATCTGCATGTCATGTAATCCGAATATTAGGAGTGAGCGGAATTTTTCTTCCCAGAATATGAGACGGTGTGTGGGGGAGATTCGGGGAGTGGCATGGTCTTCCAAATGTTCCCAGGTCGGGAGAGAAGTCCCTGGATCATTGAGGGAGTATTGAGTCACTTATATCAAAATAAAAGTAAAAAATGCTCTGATCTGCTCCCAGGCCATTTTCTTCCTAGAATATGAGACGGTGTGGGGGGGGGATTCGGGCAGTGGCATGGTCTTCCAAATGTTCCCAGGTTGGGAGAGAAGTCCCTGGATTATTGAGAGAGTATTGAGTCACTTATATCAAAATAAAAGTAAAAAATGCTCTGATCTGCTCCCAGGCCAGTTCAGCGTCTTCACCAAGGTGCATCGGTGAGACGAGACTTCCTGTTCCTCTTCTGTCGTCCCAATTTATGAGATTTGTCAGGAAGGTTTTAGGAGAAGGTTTTATGGAAAGGAGTCCATTTTAGAAGGAGTTTTTCGGCCTCAAACTTGCCAAAAATTTAACAGTTTTTTTTGCACTCACCATCTTAGTATTTGATTAATACTGGCAGGCATAAAGTCTGCAGTGAAAATAAGCAAACAGACAACAACTCACGCCTCAACTTTAACAAGGGCCATGAGGCCTATGGGGATGAACAGTCTGATTCTTATCTGGCTCTGGAATTGCTTGCCAGGTAAAATCTCTGTGGTGATTTAGCTTTTTAGTGTCTACGCCCGAGTTATCTCGTGTTGGCCTAATGACAAAGGATGGGAAAAACTTGGATGGCATTGCTAACTTATCCAAAATGCTCGGACCCCAAAGGGTTAAACAAATGCTTCGAGAAAATTCCAGCATCTTCTCCTTTTCTGTGGAAAAAGATCAGGTACCGCCCAAAAGTACTGGAAACTTATAACGAGCCACTGCTTGACACTTCCGAAATCGTGGTCATTTTGGCACCACTTATTAATACATTATCAATATGGATCTCGTATCAATTGCAGGAACCTTGTATGTTCGAATGATTGGGATAGATGACTCGGCCACATCTTGGACAAATGCAACCGCAGTAGTGGCGATGTGTAGGGTATTGAATATATGGGCTGCCCACTGCGATGCAGTTCCCACTCCGCCACTCAAAGCCAACTTGGGCTCAACGTGGCGTGCTGCCAGGGGGTTTGAGGCGAGGCCATTCAGGGTCAATCAGTCGGATGACTATGAGGCAAAGGTGGTAAAGAACTACAAGGGGAAAGTGCCAAGTGGCGAGCGGTAGGGATACAATGGTCAACATTCTCCGTTTTTCTTCACGCACTAGTAGGCAAACGATGGGGCTTTGATGTTTTTTTTGCCTGCTCTTTGGTTGCTTATTTTTACTCTGAATGGTCTAGTGACAATTGAAGTCCTTTAATGGCTCTTCATTCCCATCAGGTACATGAACTGGATCGAGGAGACGATGGCAATAAACGCTGATTGAAGACCAAGCACGCTCGTAAAAGATAAATCCTGTCTTAGTTCATCGCGTCCTCGATGTTTTACCGGCCGTTTCCATCTGCAAACATGCGTCAAAGGTTGGAATTCGTATGCTGCTGATTAAGTTTTTTTTGAGGGGGGCTAGTATCCAATTTATTTTTATTCGTTAGATCGAGACTTTATCATCGTTGATATTGAGACTTCAATTACGACTCTTAATGAGGTTCAAAACCTGCACACAAATGCCAGCTCTCCCCTCCAAAATGTAATAGGGTAGTTAATATTCATGGAAAGGAGGAAAAAAGAAACGAAGTTTTTATAACTTTTGGTCTATTTCTCAGAAATAGGAAGCAGGGAAGAACGAGGGAAACGCTGCCCGAATAAAGCAAAGGAGAAGCATGAAATCGTGAACACGGAATGTTTTCATTACTTTTCAGTGTTATTCTGAGGAGTCCCTGCTGTCCAGCAAAACTGCAAAAACTACAGTGAGCCCCATCGACTCCGCTCCATGGATCTTTGCAACTTGACACGATGGTAGATGGACGCATTAACGCATTTACCTAAAGTAGGTAAGTGCGTTGTTTCTATCAAAGGCGAACGTTACTGCCGTCGGGTTTCCTTGGCCATCAGGACATTGCGCTCAGAAGCACTAAAGACAACATTCGAATGCAAAGAGGCGGGATCGGAGTTGTCTGTCCACTTCACCTGTCTTTCTTTGCCTATCTGAGAAATTTTTTTTTCTCTGCTCTTGTTCGTTCATAAGGTTGAAGAAATGCTTGAAATGACATATATCACATACCTCAATGGAAGTCATACCCTTGCGGCTACAGTTGAATTCGCGTGAGCAAGGAATGGGAGGGTGACTAAAAAAAACGCTGATGGCACATCATAATCACATGTAGAAGGGGTTTCGATTTTAACCAGAATACGTTCCAGCGATTTAAATGACGAGGCATCGGCCCTGGAATAGCAAAGAGGGAAACAATAAAGGAGACAGACGGGAAGCCGAAATTGGAACGAGGTAATCGTACATATTCGGGTGACCGAATTAATTGCTCTGGGGCGTGGCTGATTGCATGAAGTCCTCACGCGTCACCTCTCATCTCATCAGTCGAAGAGATGGCCGGGTTCCAGTTCAAGTATATCGTCGCGGCAGCCTTAGCATTCGGAGTCTGCTGGGGAATCCGGAGGCGAACCGGTTTCAGATGGGTCAGAAACGAGGCCCTGGGATCGAACGGACAAGTGCGACTGTATTGGACGCCGAGGTTTCGCAGGGGAGACATCGAGTTCTTGTTCGTTGCTCCGAGCACGGGATGGGTCGGAGTGGGTTTCTCCCCCAACGGCGAGATGTATGGGGCCGACATGGTCCTGGGAGGAGTCAGCAACGGGACGGCCTATTTCGCCGTGAGTCTCCCTTCTCTCATGTAGGGTTTCGTGCATGTCCCGGAAAGAGTTTTGGCTTATCCACGAACGAAGGAAAAAGGAAAATCCTGTTATTGGAAATCGCAGTTCTATTAAACTCAATAGTCAGAGGGATTTTCATTGTCACATTTCCTTTTCCAAGATTTTCTTATTACTTAGCATTCAATTTTCTGCTGTTATTGTTGCTGCGTCAAATGTATCGAATCAAAGTTAATTGCAGGAGAACACTTATGTGACCCAAATTTGATCTCCGATTCCACGTTCCATAATTCTCTCAGTGTCAATAAACAAGAACAGGTACGTAGGCAGTTCTCAAGTTGGTTTTAAAAACCGTTCCGGCGCGTTTAAAGTCTTTTAAATAATCGGCTTTAAGAGGTAAGTCGTATTTCACAACACTTCCCGCAGTTTACATTTACATCAGTTCATTCTATTTTCATTTTCACTTAAAAAATCCATAGAAAATTCTTCGTTGGATAGTTAGATGTGAGAAGTGAAGGGGTGTTTAGAGATGGAACGATAAGGTTCAGTATGTGAGAGGCCTTCCCTTGATAGGCCCTTTTTTCCCCACGTAACTAATGCTTAGAATGGGGAGGAAATGCCGGTAAAGGAAAAAGCTAATAAGCGATGCTGCCAACCCGAACGATAACCGTTGAAGGTGACCGAACGTGAGTACTCCTATTGAGTTCCTTACGCGCGAAATAGCGGGTGGAGCCACCACGAACAAGCCGGGTTCACTTCATGACTGGCAATCGTTTGGATGGCAGCAATCATGGATAATTCTCGTTGACAGAGGTGAGGCTTCGATGCTTCTGGAGGGATTCCGTCTCCGAACGGAAAATTTTCCATTTTATGCAGCGAGAAATACAGCGTTCGACTAAAGATTTCATTCTTACGGTTACACCAAATTTTGGCAAATAGAGGAAATGATATAGAGGTGATTTTGGCCGAACGGGCCAAACGGGAAGAGCCGTTACTCATTCCTTTTTCATCTAACAAGATGAAAACCAGGTACCTCCAGGGGCACTTGCATCTTTTAGCATTGCAATCCCAACCGGGACATTTCCCGATTATTATCAATACATTGCTGAGGCTCTTCTCTAGCAATGGGTTTAAAGAATCTGAAGATTTCTTTAAACACATTCCTGTAATTTTGAGATGAATCGCAGGAACGTCTGGAGGTCAAATAGGTTACTTCCCAAGCATTCCACGTGGAGTAATTAAAATCCTTTTTCACACAGAGCCTCTACAATATGATATTTAATTTTCCTGCGATGAAGCCTGATCGTTCTGGGCGTGGTGGCGCGTTTAATAAGCTCAGCATTATTCCGGCCGGTTGACCTCAAAGATTCCGCCAGAAACTACGCTGCATAAGGTCCCTTTCATCATACTCACGCAAAAACTCACCTAGTGATTCGCCTGGTTCTCGAATTAAAGTCTTCGGGTGTCCGGAAATTTTCTGAATAGTTTGTAAATATGTAATTCTGCACGCAATGCTCTTCCCACTGCTCAGGTATTTAGATCAATATGCAATCTCTGTGATTGCTGATTTTCAAGTCAATCCGTTGAGAAGTGCTTACAGAGCAGACCTCAAATGACAGCCCTATAAGCTCAGTGCAATTCGGGCTGTTATCAACAAGTTGTATACGGCTACAAGCACTGAGAACTTTCACTTCTACGCGTTCACGTGATTCAAATTTGGCATTGCGGACGCTGCCTGTTACACGGAACGAGCTTTTCCAAAAGGGCTTGAGCTTGTTGCAGAAAGCCTCCACACCTTTGCCGAAAATAATGCCCCGGATATGTTTGGCGCCGTTGATGCGAGCCGCGTTGTTGTCCTCAGTAACTTGATGCGGTACGCACATTGATGTCGCGTTACGCATTTGCAGGTCTTGTGTGAGCACCTCGAGCACCTCTTGTCAACGTCGAGGCCCTCATCCAGTTCTCGAGTAGTTCCTTGGCAGTCTTCATCCACCTGCTCTCTCACCGTCTCGACAAGATCTGGTGTCTCTGTGGACCTCGGACGGTTAGTGTGAGGTTGGTCAAGAAAGTAAGGCTCCTTCTCCGTTTCAGCTGCTTCTCTGAAGCTGCTGAGCCAACGGAAGACAGTAGACTTGACATACACAGGGACCAGTTCCGTGTAACAGGCAGCGGCCGCAATGCCAGGTTTGAACCACGTGAACGCGTGAAAGCGCGTTTGAACCACGTGAAAGCAATTGATGAAAATAGCCCCCGTTGCACTGAGCTTATAGAGCTGTCTTTTGGGGTCTGCTGCGTAAGCACTTCTCAACGGATTGACTTGAAAATCGGTAATAACAGAGATTACATATTGATCTAAATACCTGAGCAGTGAGAAGCTTGTCGAGTTACGAATTTACAAACGATTCTCCTTACTTTCCGGATACCCGAAGTATTTGCAAAATTGGAACTAAAATAGCAGAATTCTCCGCCTTAACCCTTAACATTGAAATGAAATGCCTTGCATTATCTTGCCTGCTTAAAAATGTCATTGATGAGAAACGTCATCGAAGCCACGGGAAGAATAGGTGAATAATGTCATTGTAATGGGAATGAGAGGATGTGATTCATCTCCCGCTTCATTCACGATGTGAGTGCGGCCAAGCGCAACAACCAACATGAATCCCCACTGACGGGGAAAGAGCTTATGGTTTGGGAATAATAATATCTAATCGTTGTCCTGTCGGTCTGTCCGTCTGTCCACCGGAAGCCACCATGGACCGACTTTTCCGAACACGACCCGCGGTTCGGGTTTGATGGCCCGTGTCGGGCCGATCGGACCAGTCCTCAACCCGTTGAGGCCTCTAAGCTCGAAGCACGAGGTCTCTGCAGTTCGTCCGCACCCAACAGGAAACTCGATCGTCAACAGATCCACACGCCCGATCCGCGGGTCGTGTCGGTCCGATCGAATCGATCCGTATCACGTGCAGAGCTCGGAATCGTCCATCATTCGTCTCCTTTCGTTCTTCGCGGAATACCGGAGTGATCGAAATTCAAACGACCTGTCACTCCAATGCCAGGATCTTGCTGAAAATATGCTTACATATAGTCGGGGCTGTCTAATGACGCAATGACCTATCATTCATCCAAAGCAATCGCTATTTGAAATTTCAGTAAAGTAGTTTGTTTCTTATAACCTGTCTAGTCACTATCATTAAGATGTTCATTTGTAATTAAAAGAAGTGAATAAAGAATAAGATAACAAACGAGGCTTTTGCTGTTCTTTGTGGATGACACGAAGTCGCATTTTTGGCGCTTGACACACCGTGAACGTTTCAAATTCGACAATAGTGCTCGGTACGAAGCAACAGCGTCGCTAAAAGTAGGTCCACTTCACATGACCGTTTCGGCAAGGGCACAGTTACTTCGTATCCAAAGTCCATCTGGTTGAGTTTCGTGCCAGTATGGTTGGACATGGGGAGTTGAATAAGGAGAGTTGCGAGTTGATTCCATTTGGCTCTTCCGGTAGGCACCATGAGGAAGTAACATATAAAGCTATATATGCTCGAAACAGAACATAGACCAGGAGCGACTAGCATGCAAATGATGTCATTGTTATATTATGATGAGATATACTCATCAATATTTATTTTTATAATATTTTCCTTGATCTTCGGAGACAAACAGGTGGGGCTCTCGTTAGAGAATGTTCCATGACAATCTGGCATCGAGGATCAGTCTCGCAAAACAGGAAATCAGAAACAATCCCTTATTATTGATTGCCGATACGAATTGTCCACTTCCCCTTGCATGGATCCGCTCTTTTCCCTTTCTCTACTCCCGTCATTGCATTTAGGACTCCAAAGCCTCCATTTACGGAGTCAGGGCCGAGTGCTGAAACTTCATAGAGATGAAACGTCCTCATACCCTTTGGCCGAATAGTTTTTTTTTATCCATTGGAGTAGAGGATTCCTATAATCCGTTAACTGAAAAATATTGCAGCATTCCGAACTCACCCTTCGACCGGAAATAAAAATGCAGTTCTCCGTAGCCTCCATTCCGGGGTAAGCAATAATGAGTTTCCTTCCTGTCTTTTAGTCCCTTGACATGCACATGCCCGAAAGTAGAACAACTAAGGTAAAGACCCAGCGGAATTAAGCCAGTGAAGCGAAATTCGGAAGCGGAAGAGGGTGATGCAACCCATGTAATTACATCCTATTTATTAAATGGGCCAGATGTCAATGATGCAACTAATTGTTATCTGCCCCAAGGATTCACCGGTGCAAGATTAATCCATCCGGCGGATTATCTGCCACACAGAAGAGAAACAATGGACGCAGCCGGAAATCGTTTTTTTTTTTTCATTTTACCTAAAGCCGTTTGTTCTCCCATGACAGGATCGCTATTCTTCTGAGAACACCCTTCCTGAAGTGGACAGACAACAGAATTACGAATTTATTCGTGCCATGGAGAACGGGACTCACACCTGGCTTCACTTCTCTCGGAGGATCATTACCCCGGATCGGGTTCAGGATTATCAAATTATGGTAATTTTCATTCCTTTTCGTTTTTCTACAAGTGATTTAACTGCAAGCTGAAACTGACAATGAAAGAAGCCAAAAGGTTTCTTCCTTCCACAAAAAGATCCAAGTCCATTTTTATTATGCCTTCGCATGCATGTGCCTTACAGGTTTGGAACTCTTACAGGAGAGAGGCAGATCCACTCGATAATAACCCAAGCTTTTCCTTGCACTCACAGATGTTGACGTTCACCCGCGTTTGTGAAATGTGAAAGCTAACTACCGTAATTAAAATAAGTATAGGTCTCCTTGCTCTGAATTATGCACACCGCTTTCAGTCTTGCGTTTCTCAAATTTAAGCCAATGTGTTAAATCAAGATTCATAATTCTCATTAGTTGACAATAATTGCCTATTTCCTGGATGCAGCTTTTTGTATTAATCGACCCGACTCCGTAAAATATCACCTGCGTGAATCATGATGAAAGATCCAGTTCTTTTCAAGGAATAATGAGCAACTTCAATTAATTGAACCAAAATGCAATTGAATGAGGAAAGAAAAGCTTGAGGAGGACTTTCAAACCAAAACGATCAAATGCATGATGAGAAAAAAAGGAGGAATTAGGACGGAGAGGAGCGCAAAAACAGGAGATGATAGGAAAATAAAGAAACATGCCGTTATTGATCGATGCGATTTCAGGACGCGCCTGTGGAGATCATCTGGGCATACGGAGATAAGGACCCAGGGATCCAGGAGCAACCTCACTATCACTTTCGCAACCGGGGGGGACGCCGCCTGTCCATCCTCGACGATTTCCCCATAGCCCTTCTGGAAGATGCAGTGGAGGATCCATCGAATGATGGAACGGAGAGCAGCGAATGAGACCCCAGCATTTTCACCTCCCCGATATCCAACTGCCGAACGGCTCTTCTCGTCGCTTCCGATGTGGAAGTTCACATCGTCGCTTATTCACCGCACCACAATGTGAAAAATATGTTTATCCTTCGTCTCCAGTCTTCGCCGAATTCTTACTGACCCTCGCTGATCGTTCGATTCGGCAGCATTCAATTCCATTACAAATGAAGTTCAAACTTCAGATCTAGCAAATATCGGGCGTATTTCATTTCGGCGAGGCCAGCCCTCTAGGATTCCCCACCACGGGACTCGATCACCTAGACCGTGCCAATGACGCCCTTTTTCAGATTAGAGCAAACCCGTGTTTAAATAAAGTCGTAGGACGAACATATGTGAACTGGCGGTCGATCAGTTTCTTGTTGTTATCTTAGTCGGACAGTGCCCTTCAGAAAATAGGAACACTCATTTTAATTGAGGGCCACAAATAGTAAGTACCACTCTGACTAAACTTCAGTTTCTACATGAACATCTTTCAATTTGAACCATTTGCCTAACTCGCGACTGAACTTCCAATCTGCGCTAGCATGTTCATCTCTTGGTATATTCTCGAGATGCTGGATAATGGAGGATCACAAGCCATCACGAAATTGAAACCTGCACCAGAGGGAAAGTTCCAGCACTTACAAAGGAAAAAAGTAGTCTCCCAAGGCCTAATGAGGATTTTAAGGAGGATCTGGCGCTTTTCGCAGCCAAGTTTGGTGATGGTTGCAGTCGTGATGCTTCCTGCGTTTGGGCGAGCGGCACCGGGTTTCAGCCTAGTACATTCATGAAACAGATTCGGTTTTCTCGTTTTGCAGAACATCCAGGAATATATTTCTCAAAATGTCTGAATGTATTTGACCTGTAACTGCGAGGCATCGATGCATCGGATGCACCAAAATTGCGCTTCCCAAACGAGACAGATTGAACTTTACTGCAAACTTTGCAATGCAACACTTATTGGGAGATGAAGACTCAGCACGTTACCATTGTAGTGATACATTCATTTAATTGGTGCTATAAATGCATCGAGGTCTCTTACGTTTCAGAAAGAGCTCGCCTCTGCAGCTTACAGGTCTTTTATGGAAGTTTCAAGAGACGGGAAATTCACTCGAAAGACGCTTTTCGTCTCGCTCAGATGCTCATGAATCATGTCATGAATTGAACCTACAGATTGCCTCATCAACCACTTCAATTCAGCAGCATCGAGGTACTACGATAATATGAAAATCGACCCCCTTAAATCTAAATTCCGTTTTATAATTGTTGTAGGGGACATCGAGAAAGGGCCTTGGAGCCGATTGCTGGCTCTCTCAGGTCACCCCCGGGGGCCATGATCTGTGGTCAAAGGTCAAAATGTGCATGCTTCTCTTTGAAAATCTCCATCTCCCCAACCCTCGGTCGCAGAAATGTCAAATTTGCACCGTTCTCCTCGAGACATGCAGCACTAAATGGAAAAAAATAAATACACATATTCATCTGCCGTTTCCGAGACGCCATGACGCCATAACCGAGAATTTTTCTGTTCTCGGATTCGGTTCTTTCGCTCTCATTCTTGGTAGAAATTTTCTATCGGCTAAAGCATGCTACTGTTTCTGGAAGCTGAAATGGTCCATTTTTTTGCTTATTTGCGCATGGTTTCCTCGAAGCGTTCCCCCTCAGTGTTCGATGATCCGCCTGAAAAATCCACTTTTTCTGAAGGGACGTGACGTGACGGACAATACTCGAAAACGAGGCTTTATTTTAAAAATTCCTGTCGTATATCTCTTTAAAAGTATTTTAATCAGTTTCGTGCCAATTATCAAGAGAATCCGTTCATTCCACTGGAGTCTATAGATTTTTCCTGCTGCCTTTCTTGACTATTTAGGTCATTTCTTCTATTCCGGGTCGACCACCAGTCAAGAATACAGGAATTTGTGTACCTATCCCATAGAAGGATGTTTCACGGATCCAATGACACCAAGATAGCTTACTGTCTCTGAAGGGATAGAGAATGCGATGCTTTAATTGCTGATTTCCATGAGAACTTGAATGTTCGCGCGCAGCTCTTCCCTGTCGTGCTTCCCTCCCACCTCACTCGCTCATGTTTCTTCGCCTGCCCCAGCACCGTCTCCCATGCACGCACTTCCTCTCGCCTGTCCCTTTCCAACTTCCTCTAGTCTAACTGGCTCCTGCTACTGACTTCAGTGGAAGAAATTTGAGAAATTTTTGGGCCCAGAGACAGTACTCCAAGTATTCCTCATTCTCGTCCTCGCTACGAGCCACTTCTGCTAATTTTTGCGGGGGGCTCAAGACCCCTGAGCCCCCTAAGAATGTGACTGAGACCACGTTGAAAAATCATGCAGCAATCGACCCCGTTTCTCCTGCATGCCTCCTTCCTCGTTTACGATCACGAGCTGCTTTCCTCAAAGTCAATGGTGTGATGGAATTAACTGCAATTTAGATGACACCTACATCGCCTTTCCAGATGAACTGGTTGCTGAATGATAGGATTTTTTGCAGTTGTGCCAGAAATGGCCAGCATGGCCAGCTGACGAACTGACACTGACGAACACTGAGGGGGAACGGTAGGAGGAAACCATGCGCAACTCCGCAAAAAGATGGACCATATCAGCTTCCAGAAACAGTAGCATGCTTTTGCCGGTAGAAAATTTCTACCAAGAATGAGAGCGAAAAAACCGAATCCGAAAACAGAAAAATTCTCGGTTATGGCGTCATGGCGTCTCGGGAACGACAGATGAATACGTGTATTTATATATTTTTTCCATTTAGTGCTACATGTCCCAAGGAGAACGGTGCAAATTTGACATTTCTTCGATCAAGGGTTGAGGAGATGGAGATTTTCAAAGAGAAGCATGCACATTTTGACCTTTGACCATAGATCATGGCCCCCGGGGGTGACCTGAGAGAGCCAGCAATCGGCTCCAAGGCCCTTTCTCGATGTCCCCTACAACAATTATAAAACGGAATTTAGATTTAAGGGGGTCGATGTTCATGTTCCGGTAGTACCTTACACTTTCAATGCCTAGCCATTTTTTTGAGGTCGTTCCACTGAGGCCAAAGTAATCCTCCTAATTCTGGTGTGCATGTCACAAGTGATAACCGCGATAAGTGGGGATCACACTGGAGATGATGAAGGCATGGAACGGCCATCGACAAGCCGTAATGAGGAATCTTTGAGTTTGTCCGCAATGACTGCCGGCAATCAAACAGTACCCATGTCGTACCGTTGAATTTCTAACCAATCTTGGAATGCCATTGCTCCCACATTCTTCATATTCCTTGGACCTCGAACCTTGCGACTTCAGGCTGATTCCAAAAATTCAGTGCCTTCGATGTATGGCTGCCGCTTCGACGACACAGGCGCTTGTCAATCTACTTGATACCAACGCGTTGGACAAATTTGTTAATTGTGGGTTATAGTCTGTTTTAAGGTCTTTACGAACGAAAGGAAATGTGTTTCGCAAATCAGGTTGAAATAGAGGGTTGACTGGAAAAAAATAACTTGAACTTTTTTTTCACACATAAATTCTTCAGGAAATTGATGCGAACATGTAAGTATACCTTGTTGACGAGGTTCTTCAAGAGTTGCTGAAGTAAGTGCAACCTTGCCCATCTACTCTTGAGTTATGACAGATTTAATCGAGTTGGTCAAATTTTCTGAGTGCACAGGCATGTGACTGCTAATGGTGAGGTACGAATCCGCATTTGATTTTTGCCTAATGAATCAGATCCTCTGGACTGATCCTCGCAAAGAAATTAACAGGACGATGTCAATAATGTGTACTCAACCATAAAAAGTTCCCTGAGGGCTGGCTTTCCGTCACTAGCCAGCAATCGAAAACGGGTTGAGGATCATGTCCAAATCGACACGTCTTCTCCCTCTTCCCGATCAGGCGTCCCGGCGCCGTAGGGGTCGTGCAGAGTCTGGGTTGCTGGATCCGTGATTTACGTCAGCCTCCTGGTTCAGTATGCATTTGTCAGTCATGGCTGACTCATCGCCGCTGGTAGTGATTGACGAAAGGAAAAATCCTGTAGCGCCACGTCGCAGTGATCACCGCTCAAACTACCCGTGCCGCGAGGAACGCCTACAGTTACTTCAACAGTTCAGATGCGATAGACTTTTTTCGCGAAAACAGCCGAAGCTACAGGTCTTTCCCGGCTCGCAATTCGAGTCCTTATAAGTACCGATGACATCAGGAGTACTCCAAGAAAGAAGCGAAAGAGAAGGGCTCTGTTTAAACCTTTCACAATTGACCTTTCACCTTTCACATTCCCTGATGTTTGTCTAGGTTCAATATGATCATTGAGGAAATGTAAGGAGGGATAGAGTTCCCACATATCCTTCTTGACAAAAGCAGACCCACTTCTCTGCTCAGTGTTTTTCTTTTCGCGCACATATTTATCTCGGATGCTCTTCGACTTCGCTTTTTCTTCATATGCTACAAATGAGCAATCGAGAAAGTTATAAGAGAATCATAGTTCGAAAAAGTCATCGTACATTTTAGTTTAAATCAACATTGTCAAGATACCTGATACTCCTAATTCCTCAGCCAATTCCCTCCATACTTTTTCCTTGGCTTGAGCGTCCTTGTATTTCCTGTGAGAGGAATCATATAATATACTATGAGGTTGTACGTGACTTATGAGTTGTTCATGAAAAGCAGGGGAGCCTGCTCCCATGACCACATTCATTACCAAGTGCACAATTCTGAAATATCTAGAAATTCAAGGGGAATGATTGTAGGTTGATTCATCAGAGAAGGGAGAATTGCTAGGTTTCTGGCCCTAGTGGCAAGACATTGAATGAATATAGAATCAAGGTTCCCAATATTGAACTATCATGGGATGGGCTAAACCTTAGGATTCCGAGGTATATAATTTTTCTGACCAGGGATAGGCAAACTCTTCCTGAAATGGGAATGAATAAGAGATATGAAGAAATAGATACATATATACTGTATATATATAAGTTGCCATAAAATTTGTTTGTGTATATGTCAGATGCGAGGATAGGTAGCAGCAATCAACAATCCTGGATAATAGATCTGAACCTAAATTAAATGGAGGTTAGATCAAGTGACATGGGTGGAGACGAAATTAAATTCTGCTGTCAAGCCTGGGCTTGAGTATTCGGATTGAATTTCTACCCTCCTGTAAGAGTGCTTCGATCAATTGCAGG